ATTCGAACTACATAACACAAAGTATAATCTATAACATGCTATATAATATAAAGGAAAAACATTGAAAAAACAAAAGCGCTAATTATAATAATTTTAAACACTCTATAACAATTACGAAAATCACTGTAATTAGAACTATAGAACACAAAGTAAGTATAATCTATAAAATGCTATATAATATAAACGAAAAATATTGAAAAACCGTCAAGAAACAAAAATACGAACTGTTTTCGCTTAAAACACTATGTAATACATACGAAAAGCACTGTAATTAGAACTATATAATACAAAGTAAGTGTAATCTATAACATGCTATATAATATAAAGGAAAAATATTAAAAAAACAAAAGTGCTGCATATAATAATTTTAAACACTCTATAACTAATACGAAAAGCACTGTCATTAGAACTATAGAGCACAAAGTAAGTATAATCTATAACATGCTATAGAATATAAAGGAAAAACATTGAAAAAACAAAAGAGCTAAATATAATAATTTTAAACGCCCTATAACAAATACGAAAAGCACTACAATTAGAACTATAGTGCACAAAGTATAATCCCATAAAGTGCTATATAATAAAAAGCAAAGGCACGCAAGAAACAAAAGCACTAATTGTTATCCCTTAAAACACTTATGTAATACATACGAAAAGCACTGTAGTTATCACTATAGAGCACAAAGTAAGTATAATCAATAAAATGCTATATAATATAAAGGAAAATTATTTAAAAAAATAAAAGCGCTAAATATATTAATTTTGAACACTCTATAACAAATACGAAAAGCACTGTAATTAGAATTATAAATCACAAAGTATAATCTATAACAATGTATATAATATAAAGGAAAAACATTGAAAAAACAAAAGTGCTAAATATAATAATTTTAAACACTCTATAACGAGTACGAAAAGCACTGTAATTAGAACTATAGTGCACAAAGTATAATCCCATAATGTGTTATAAAATAAAATGACAAGGCAGACAAGAAACAAAAGCACTAATTGTTTACTTTAAAAACACTTACGTAATACATACGAAAAGCATTGTAATTAGAATTATAGAGCACAAAGTAAGTATAATCAATAAAATGCTATATAATATAAGGGAAAAACATTGAAAAAACAAAAGCGCTAAATATATTAATTTTGAACACTCTATAACTAATACGAAAAGCACTGTAATTAAAACTATAGAGCACAAAGTAAGTATAATTTATAAAAAGCTATATAATATAAAAGAAAAACATTGAAAAAACAAACACACTAAAATATTAATTTCGAACACTCTATAACAAATACGAAAAGGACTGCAATTAGAACTATAGAGCACAAAGTAACTATAATCTAAAACATGCTATATAATATAAAGGAAAAAACATTGAAAAAACAAGAGCGCTAAATATAATAATTTTAAACACTCTATAACGAGTACGAAAAGCACTGTAATTAGAACTATAGTGCACAAAGTATAATCCCATAATGTGTTATAAAATAAAATGACATGGCAGACAAGAAACAAAAGCACTAACTGTTTACTTTAAAAACACTTACGTAATACATACGAAAATCATTGTAATTAGAATTATAGATCACAAAGTAAGTATGATCAATAAAATGCTATATAATATAAGGGAAAAACATTTAAAAAACAAAAGCGCTAAATATATTAATTTTGAACACTCTATAACTAATACGAAAAGCACTGTAATTAAAACTATAGAGCACAAAGTAAGTATAATTTATAAAAGCTATATAATATAAAAGAAACACATTGAAAAAACAAACACACTAAAATATTAATTTCGAACACTCTATAACAAATACGAAAAGGACTGCAATTAGAACTATAGAGCACAAAGTAACTATAATCTAAAACATGCTATATAATATAAAGGAAAAACATTGAAAAAACAAGAGCGCTAAATATAATAATTTTAAACACTCTATAACGAGTACGAAAAGCACTGTAATTAGAACTATAGTGCACAAAGTATAATCCCATAATGTGTTATAAAATAAAATGACATGGCAGACAAGAAACAAAAGCACTAACTGTTTACTTTAAAAACACTTACGTAATACATACGAAAATCATTGTAATTAGAATTATAGATCACAAAGTAAGTATGATCAATAAAATGCTATATAATATAAGCGAAAAACATTTAAAAAACAAAAGTGCTAAATATATTAATTTTGAACACTCTATAACTAATACGAAAAGCACTGTAATTAAAACTATAGAGCACAAAGTATAATTTATAAAAAGCTATATAATATAAAAGAAAAACATTGAAAAAACAAACACACTAAAATATTAATTTCGAACACTCTATAACAAATACAAAAAGGACTGCAATTAGAACTATAGAGCACAAAGTAACTATAATCTAAAACATGCTATATAATATAAAGGAAAAACATTGAAAAAACAAAAGCGCTAAATATAATAATTTTAAACACTCAATAACGAGTACGAAAAACACTGTAATTAGAACTATAGAGCACAAAGTAAGTATAATATATAAAATGCTATATAATATAACGGAAAAATATTGAAAAAATAAAAGCGCTAAATATAATAATTTTGAACACTCTATAACTAATACGAAAAACACTGTCATTCGAACTATATAACACAAAGTAAGTATAATCTATAACATTGTATATAATATAAAGGAAATACATTGAAAAAACAAAAGCGCTAAATATAATAATTTTAAACACTCTATAACAAGTAGGAAAAACACTGTAATTAGAACTATATAGCACAAAGTAAGTATAATCTATAACATGCTATATAATATAAAGGAAAAACATTGAAAAAACAAAAGCGCTAAGAATAATAATTTTAAACACTCTATAACTAATACGAAAAGCACTGTCATTAAAACTATAGAGCACAAAGTAAGTATAATCTATAACATGCTATATAATATAAAGGAAAAACAATTAAAAAACAAAAGGCTAAATATAATAATTTTAAACGCCCTATAACAAATACGAAAAGCACTACAATTAGAACTATAGTGCACAAAGTATAATCCCATAAAGTGCTATATAATAAAGTACTGTCATTCGAACTATATAACAAAAGCGCTAAATATAATAATTTTGAAAACTCTATAACTAACACGAAAAGCATTGTCATTCGAACTATATAACACAAAGTAAGTATAATCTATAACATGCTATATAATATAAAGGAAAAACATTGAAAAAACAAAAGCGCTAAATATAATAATTTTAAACACTCTATAACAAGTAGGAAAAGCACTGTAATTAAAACTGACGAGGTCGTCAATGGCGACGATGAACCTACACTACCACCAGGTCCGATTACTCGAAACCGTGCCAAGAAGTTTCAAACTAATGTTATGGCATTAATTCTATACCTGGAAGAAGAGAACATGCATAAAGTTGAAGCATGGAGGCCAATGGGAAAAGCATTATCAACATTGGAGTGCATCCACCCTTGAAGACCGCAATTTATAACACCCATGGGAGTTTCTACTCACATCATTACCCAATGTGGGATAAGAGATGTTTTATTTTATTTAATAAAGTGGGTCCCATCAATCTGATTAATTGGACATCTCTTATTTACTTAATTAGTGGGATATAAATAATATATTTTTGTCCCACATTGGTTGTAGAGTCTTTTTCAAGCCAGCGTCCCCTATAAATAAGGCACTTGGGTTCACTTGTTAGAGACCTTGAAAATTATATCAATTAAAGTTTCTTTTTTTCCATTATATTGGAATTAGTGTGTGAGCGAGGGTTACCCTTGCATGCGCGTATCATTCTCAAATCGGGTCCTTGGGTTGATTCCTTGGGTTCGTGGCTTCCGAAACTGACCGGAGTTTCTAGCCAAATCGTTCGAGTCTCCAGTGGTTTAGAGGAGTTGGGTCTAGGCAACGCTTGGGTTCACATCCGATCGATTGACGAATCGGACACCGGTAATATCTTTTTTTTTTTACTTAGTTTTTTTATTTGAATTTAGTTTTAAATATCGGTTAGTATAGTTTAGTTACTTGGGCTGCGTCATCAATTTGGTATCAGAGCCCGTTTTTGTCGGAATTCTTATTCCGGTAGTATTAATAGTCTTTATTTCATATTTTTAAATTATGTTAAGATCTTTTAAATTTTTGTAAGTAGCATTATCATTGTTGGGCAAAAATATATATATATATTGCAAAAAAAAAAAACTGCAGAAAATAAAAAAAAAATACTGCAGAAAATTTTAAAAAAAAAATACTGCAGAAAAATTTTTAAAAAAATACTGCAGAAAAAAAAAGAAAAGAAAGAAAAGCCCTCTTTGAAATATATTGTGATTTTGAGTATTGTATCCATTTGTTTATTTGTGGATATCGGTTTTCTTGCGATTGTGCTTTCATTGTTGGTTCGTTACTATTGTTGAGTTTGGCTTCTTGGGGTACACTCGTCAATTTATATTGGCTATATTCCGTGAAGTTTAGTTGGCTATAATTCAAGGGGCTTACCAAGGACCGTGAAATTTGAGCGCGTGTGTAAGACGGAGAGGTACATTACGTGAGTATACACGAGAGGGTGAGGAAATCATTTATCTAACCATCTATATATATATTTCCACTCTAATTTTCTATGGCAGGTGAGAAAAGTGACGAGGAACATGATATGGCATCCGCATCAAGTTTTGACCCAAAATGTTCGTGACGGATATGATGGTAGAAGTACAAAGGGTACTTCAACATGAAGTTGAGGGACTCCATGCCCGAATAAATAAATTGGAAACGTCGAGAGTAGAAGGGAATGCAGCCCCTCCATGTCCCCACATTGGAATTCCACCTCTAGGACGACGACAGCCCGGGAATGCTCCAAGGCATGAACGAGTTCATGATCTTCTCGAAGATGATCGTGACATGACTGAGTATGATGGAGAAGTAGAGAGCAATGTTCCTCTTCGAGCATGACGAGGAGCACATAGGAGAGATGACAATGATCCAATTCGTTCTATGAAATTCCAAATCCCACCTTTCTACGGGAAATATGATTCAGAAGCATATCTTCATTGGGAGCGGAAGATTGAGCTGATCTTTGATTGTCAAGATTTGGATGGTCCACAAAAAGTCCGAGCTGCGGTCTCCGAGTTCAAAGATTATGACATTCATTGGTGGGACAATATTTGCCTAAATCGAAGGCGAGGTGGAGCACCGATGATTCAAACATGGGAGGAGTTGACACGTGTCATGCGAGCTAAATTTGTGATGAGTTCGGATACGCAAGAATTGCATGTTCGACTGCAATCGATGAAGCAAGGAAATAGGACAGTCGATGAGTTCTACAAGGATTTGGAGGTGAATTTAATGCGGGCTTATGTTCGAGAGAGTCAACAAGCCACGGTAGCGAGGATCTTGACGGGGCTGAATCGAGACATTGCTGACAAAGTGAGATTGTATCGTTTTGATGATATTGATGAATTGGTGGAACGTGCTATTACTATCGAGAAGCAATTGAAGCGTAAGGGCAAACAGAAAACATTTGGTACGAAGCCCTTCACACCAAATTATACCAAGAAGGATGACAAAACCCAAGTGGGTCAAGGATACGGTAAAGGAAAAGGTATTATCAAGGATGACACGCCACGGAACAAGCATGTTGGAGCTGATCCGGAGAAGCCGAGGAATCGAGATATCATTTGCTTCAAGTGTCAAGGTCGATGCCACATTGCAACTCAATGCCCAAACAAAAAAACGATGATCCTCAATAAGTTTGGGGAATACGAAATGGAATCTGAAAATGAGGAGGGGGTTGATCAAAGAGTAGATGAGGAAAATAACACGGATGATGATTCTGATTCTGGTGTTGGTTTGAATTTGGTTACCTTACGAGCCTTAAGCACTATGTCAAGGACCTTTGATGAGGAACAACGAGAAAATCTCTTTCAAACTCGTTGCATAATTGGAGGCAAAGTGTGTAGCCTCATTATTGATAGTGGGAGTTGCACAAATACTGTAAGTGAACTTGCTGTTCGAAAATTGAATTTGCTAACAACACCCCACCCCAAACCATTCAAATTGCAGTGGGTTAGCAATTGCGGAAAGTGGAATGTGAACAAGCAGGTGACGGTTCCTATCAAGATAAAAAATTATGAGGATCAAGTCGTTTGTGATGTGCTACCGATGCAAGCTTGTCACGTATTACTTGGAAGGCCATGGCAGTTTGATAGAAAGACTCATCATGATGGATATTTGAATAGATACTCATTTGAGTTTGGGAGTAGAAAGATATGTTTAAAGCCGTTGTCTCCAATGGATGTCCATGAGGACCAACTCTACATGCATCGTCAATTTTTGGAAGAAGCCAAAGAAAAGAGAGAAAGAAAAAAGAGTGAGAAAAATAAGAGTGAAAAAAGTGAGCATAGGAGTGAGAAAAGTGAGAGCGAAAAAAATAAGAGTGACAAAAGAGAGCAAGTTAGTGAACAACGCAAGAGTTAGCTTGAAAGAAAAATGCTTGTGAGCTTGAGAGAGGCAAAAAATTTGAAAGTTCATGAGGGAAGTTCTTATTTACTTTTGATTAAACCTGTTTATTTGTCTAAGCAAGAGCTAATGAAACTCCCTCCCAATGTTGCTTCTCTTTTGCAGGAATATCAAGATGTGTTTCCTGATGAAGTAACCGGAGGATTACCACCTATTCGGGGCATTGAGCACCAGATGGATCTCATTCCGGGTGCATCAATTCCAAATTGTCCAGCTTACAAGGCAAGTCCAGAGGAAGTCAAGGAAATACGTAAGCATGTGGATGAGTTGCTTGACAAAGGCTGGATTCGCGAAAGCCTAAGCCCTTGTGCTGTACCGGTTCTTCTTGTCCCAAAGAAGGATGGCGGGTAGAGGATGTGCATCGATTGTCGAGCCGTAAATGCCATAACGGTAAAGTATCGACACCCTATCCCTCGTTTAGATGATATGCAAGATGAACTGCATGGGTCAAAATACTTTTCTAAAATTGATTTGAAAAGTGGATATCATCAGATTAGAATGAGGGAAGGTGACGAATGGAAAACTGCATTTAAAACTACTTTCGGCTTATATGAGTGGTTAGTCATGCCTTTTGGTCTTACGAATGCTCCAAGTACGTTTATGCGGTTAATGAATCATGTATTATGTACCTTCATAGGGAAGTTTGTTGTGGTTTACTTTGATGATGTTCTCATTTATAGTAAATCAATGGAAGAACATGTAGAGCATATTCGTAGTGTTTTGGAAGTGTTAAGAGCTGAAAAGCTTTATGCTAACCCGAAGAAGTGCGACTTTTGTGTCGACAAATGTATTTTTCTTGGTTTTCTTGTAGGTGCTGAAGGGTTAAGTGTGGATGAAGCTAAAACACAAGCTGTTCGAGATTGGTCAACACCTAAAACGATCAAGGAAGTTCGTAGTTTCCTTGGACTTGCAAGCTTTTACCACCGCTTTGTGCGAGATTTTAGCTCCATTGCAGCACCACTGACTGAGCTTACAAAGAAAGATAAACACTTTGATTGGGGAGTTTCTGAACAAGCATCTTTCGATTTGCTTAAGAGAAAACTTACTAATGCTCCTGTTTTAGCTCTACCGGATTTTACTAAGCCATTTGAATTGGAATGTGATGCCTCAGGAATTGGGATTGGAACTGTTTTGATGCAAGGAAGGAAGCAGATTGCGTACTTCAGTGATAAGCTGAGTGGGGCTGCCCTCAACTATTCGACGTATGACCGAGAATTGTATTCGTTGGTTCATGCACTTCAAACATGGCAGCACTATTTGCGATCACAAGAATTCATTGTTCACACTGACCATGAATCATTAAAGCATTTAAAGAGTCAACAAAAGCTTAGCAAACGGCATGCAAGATGGGTAGCATTCGTGGACACATTTCCTTACTTGATTCAGTACAAGAAAGGAAAGGAAAATGTTGTAGCTGATGCGCTATCAAGGAGGTACGGGTTGCTAACCTTGTTAGAATCTAAGCTTATGGGATTTGCATTCATAAAAGATATTTATATGAATGATGTTGTTTTTTCTGATATCTTTGCAAAATGTGCTACGCATGGCTTTGGTGATTATTATTTGCACGATGGATATTTGTTTCGTGTGAATCGTTTGTGTGTACCTAGGTGTTCACTTCGTGATGTGTTAGAGGTTGAGGCACATGAGGGAGGTTTAATGGGTCATTTTGGGTGTGATAAGACATTGGGTGCATTGCATGAACACTATTATTGGCCTAAAATGAAGCATGATGTGGAGTCTTATGTGAATAAATGTGTTGTTTGTAAGATTGCAAAGTCACATGCACAACCACACGGTCTATACACACCCTTACCTATTCCAGAAGCACCATGGACTGATATTTCAATGGATTTTGTTATGGGATTGCCTAGGTCTAGGAGAGGAAATGATTCGATTTTTGTTGTGGTTGATAGATTTTCAAAAATGGCACACTTCATTGCATGTAAGAAAACCAATGATGCATCTCATGTTGCAGATCTATTCTTTCATAATGTTTTGAAATTGCATGGTGTCCCTAAGACAATTGTGTCGGACAGGGATACAAAGTTTCTTAGTTACTTTTGGAAGACACTTTGGGCTAAATTGGGAACTAAGTTGCTATTTTCTACATCTCATCATCCCAAACGGATGGTCAAATTGAAACAGTGAATAGAACCTTAGGGAACCTACTTCGTGTCTTGATAAAAAAGAATTGCAAAAGTTGGGAAGAATGTTTGCCTCACGCTGAATTTGCATATAATCGTCCGTTGCATTCTTCGACACACATGTCTTCTTTTAAGGTTGTTTATAGCTTTAATCCTCTAACACCTTTGGATATGTTACCATTGCCAAGCAATGAGTATTTTAATAGTGATGGCAGGAAATGGGCTGAATTTGTGAAGGAGATGCATTCAAAGGTTCAGGATAACATTGCAAAATCAAACGCTCGGTATGCTAAAAGTGCTAACAAAGGTCGAAAGCATGTAGTGTTCCATCCAGGCGATTGGGTGTGGTTGCACTTGAGAAAAAGTAGATTTCCCGAGAAACGGAAGTCTAAGTTGAGACCAAAAGGAGATGGGCCATTCCAAGTTGTGGAACGCATCAATGACAATGCATATCGTATTGAGCTACCGGGTGAGTACCAAGTTCATAGCACATTCAACGTTGCAGACTTAAGTCCTTTCGATGTAGGAGATGAACAGACTATGAAAAAGGGGGACTCAATTTTTCAAGAAGGGGGGGATGACGAGGTCGTCAAAGGCGATGATGAACCTACACTACCACCAGGTCCGATTACTCGAAACCGTGCCAAGAAGTTTCAAACTAATGTTATGGCATTAATTCTATACTTGGAAGAGGAGAACATGCATAAAGTTGAAGCATGGAGGCCAATGGGAAGAGCGTTATCAACATAGGAGTGCATTCACCCTTGAAGACCACAATTTATAACACCCATGGGAGTTTCTACTCACATCATTACCCATGTGGGAAAAGAGATGTTTTATTTTATTTAATAAAGTGGGTCCCATCAATCTAATTAATTGGACATCTCTTATTTACTTAATTAGTGGGATATAAATAATATATTTTTGTCCCACATTGGTTGTAGAGTCTTTCTCCAAGCTAGCCTCCCCTATAAATAAAGCACTTGGGTTCACTTGTTAGAGACCTTGAAAATTATATCAATTAAAGTTTCTTTTTATTCCATTATATTGGAATTAGTGTGTGAGCGAGGGTTACCCTTGCATGCGCGTATCATTCTCAAATCGGGTCCTTGGGTTGATTCCTTGGGTTCGTGGCTTCCGAAACCGACCGGAGTTTCTAGCATAATCGTTCAAGTCTCCATTGGTTTAGAGGTGTTGGGTCTAGGCAACGCTTGGGTTCACATCCGATCGATTGACGAATCGGACACCAGTAATATCTTTATTTTTTTTACTTAGTTTTTTATTTAAATTTAGTTTTAAATATCGGTTAGTATAGTTTAGTTACTTGGGCTGCGTCAAAAACTATAGAGCACAAAGTAAGTATAATCAATAAAATGCTATATAATATAAACAAAAAACATTGAAAATACAAAAGCTATAAATATATTAATTTTGAACACTCTATAACAAATACGAAAAGCACTGTAATTAGAACTATAGAGTACAAAGTAAGTATAATCTATAACATGCTATATAATATAAAGGAAAAATATTGAAAAAACAAAAACGTTAAATATAATAATTTTAGACACTGTAAAACAAGTACGAAAAACACTGCAATTAGAACTATAGTGCACAAAGTATAATCCCATATACTGTTATATAATAAAAACAAAAGGCAGTCAAGAAACAAAAGCACTAACTGTTTTCCCTTAAAACACTATGTAATACATACGAAAAGCACTGTAATTAGAACTATCGAGCACAAAGTAAGTATAATCTATAACATGCAATATAATATAAAGGAAAAACATTGAAAAAACAAAAGTGCTAAATATAATAATTTTAGACACTGTAAAACAAGTACGAAAAGCACTGTAATTAGAATTATAGTGCACTAAGTATAATCCCATATACTGTTATATAATAAAAAGAAAAGGCAGTCAAGAAACAAAAGCACTAACTGATTTCCCTTAAAACACTATGTAATACATACGAAAAGCACTGTAATTAGAACTATATAACACAAAGTAAGTGTAATCTATACCATGCTATATAATATAAAGGAAAAACATTGAAAAACCAAAAGAGCTAAATATAATAATCTTAAACACTATAACTAATACGAAAAGCACTGTCATTAGAACTATAGAGCACAAAGTAAGTATAATCTATAACATGCTATATAATATAAAGGAAAAACATTAAAAAAATAAAAGCGCTAAATATAATAATTTTAAAAGCCCTATAACAAATAGGAAAAGCACTATAATTAGAACTATAGTGCACAAAGTATAATCCCATAAAGTTTTATATAATAAAAAGAAAAGGCAGGCAAGAAACAAAAGCACTAATTGTTTTCTCTTAAAACACTTATGTAATACATACGAAAAGCACTGTAATTAGAACTATAGAGCACAAAGTAAGTATAATCAATAAAATGATATATAATATAAAGGAAAAAACATTGAAAATACAAAAGCGCTATATATATTAATTTTGAACACTCTATAAAAAATACGAAAAGCACTGTAATTAGAACTATAGAGCACAAAGTAAGTATAATCTATAACATGCTATATAATATAAAAGGAAAACATTGAAAGAACAAAAGCGCTAAATGTAATAATTTTAACACTCTACAACAAGTACGAAAAGCACTGTAATTAGAACTATAGTGCACAAAGTATAATCCCACATAGCGTTATATAATAAAAACAAAAGGCAGTCAAGAAACAAAAGCACTCACTGTTTTCCCTTAAAACACTATGTAATACATACGAAAAGAACTGTAATTAGAACTATCGAGCACAAAGTAAGTATAATCAATAAAATGCTATACAATATAAAGGAAAAACATTAACAAAACAAAAGCGCTAAATATATTAATTTTGAACACTCAAAAATAAATACGAAAAGCAATGTAATTAGAACTATATGCACAAAGTGAGTATAATATATAAAATGCTATATAATATAACGGAAAAACATTGAAAAAACAAAAACGCTAAATATAATAATTTTGAACACGTTATAACTAATACGAAAAGCACTGTCATTCGAACTATATAAAACAAAGTAAGTATAATCTATAACATGAAATATAATATAAAGGAAAAACATAGAAAAAAAAAAACGCTAAATATAATAATCTTAAACACTCTATAACAAGTACGAAAAGCACTGTAACTAGAACTATAGAGCACAAAGTAAGTATAATCTATA